ATTTAGCTATTGGAGACAACAACTAAAACTATTTGCATAATTTCCTTGTCCATTTTCTTTTGGATAAAATATGATAAAAATGATTTAAAGAGAAGAAGAATAGAAATTATCAAGAAGTATTCAGTTTAATCAACCCAGAAAGATCCAAACCTAAGACAGTTGTTATGAATTAGACTGTTTAATTTGAACCTATATATTATTAAATGAAGTTTATCAACTTATTTCCTTAAGATTTATACAGTTGAATTCATTTTCTAAAAAATATCCTAATTAAACTCCATCTACTGATGAAATTGCCATCTTATAATAGAACAATATTTTAGAAAGCTTGAATATTATTTTGAAGAATTATTATTGTAAATTAAATAATTGGATGCTTCAAAGTCTTAAATTTTCATCCATCATATTTTCTAAGTTTTCTTAAGCCAAATTGTTTTTATTTAAATCTGAAGAGTTTTTTAATTCCTTAATTCATAGCTATTTTTATTAAATTATTGATCTTAGGATAAATTACTTATATACTATGTATTTAATCCTAGTAAAAATTATTAGCTGCAAATAATCAAGAGTAATTTTTGAGAAATTAATATTGTTAGGAATAAGCTTAATTAAATATTTTCAATTATTTTAACCACAAAAACATTTATTTTATTGTGCTAGAAGTTGATATACGAAAGGCAGTTTAAAATAAATATTTTTTGTAATAATTATATGCATGTTAGGAATTAAAGTTTAATTATTAAATTAAATACATAATGTAATTTTATGCTATTTGAACTCTTATTATAAATTTACTTTGAAATGAAGTATTATCAAACTATCATAAATTTAAATAGGGCTTGGGTCCGTAGTACTAAGAGTCCCAAAATATTCTCTTTTTTAGACATCATCGATTTTTAATGATATAAGGTTTTAATTTAGTTAAATTAAATTATTTTTTGATTTAATTAATAAGTATTAGGAAAAGTGCCTGGGTTTCTTAGAGACCTGATGAAAACTAGTATAATAGGCTCCCTCATTAAAAGGTCAAGGTTTCCAAATTAGGAATTGTTGTCCAGATAAAAGACTCATCATATTAATAATTTGATTTAAATTAAAGTATACTTATTACTGTGATAAGAAATGATATTGAATTATTAATTTTTTACTTCTTTACATTTTATTGAAACATACACAAATTGCAAAAATAGTAGTTTAATTTACCTAATTTATGTGATATTTTTACTCTACATTATATCAATTCTAATTAATCCTGTAAGTTCTTAGTTTTGTTTTTCAAAATAGGTATTTGTTGTTTATTATATTTCTAATGTAATTAAAAATTATTGAAGAAATTTTATTAAGATCAGGATAATTAGTTATGGGATAAAATTTACACATGTATTAACATTCCAAATTCAAAGTCAAAGACTAAAATTTTTTGAGTGATTTTAAAGAAATCAAAACATCTCAATAAAAAAGATTTTAAATTCTGAGTTTTTATCATAGACAAAGGCTAATTTCACATTATAAACACAAAGATAACATTTTAAGGAGAAATAACAATATTTCTTGACAAAATATTCATAAGGAATATGCATTAGATTTTTAAATTTTTGCATTAAAAATTAGATATTATTTAATACTTCACTTTCTCAAGTGAAAAATATTGCACATCATATAAAAGTTGACCATTATGCTATAGTATAGTCAATTAGTAGATAAGTATATTAATCGAGACTCTTCTAAAAAGTTTCTTTAGACTAGTATTGGATATCTATAACAAAGTTTAAGAGATTACTATATACAAGATTGATAATATTTGTATTCCAATAAGAAGAATTTAATCTTAAACTTAATATTTTGAATCTAAGACTATCAAAGTACTTTTTAATTAATAATCTCATTTTAGTTGAATGATTTAGTATAAAGCGTTAATAAAAAACAACATCTTTAATAAAGTTTAAAAAATATAAATTTTAAAGTGCCTTCCACTCTACCTATAATTTAATTAATAATGAAGCAATTATAGATAATTAGAAACTGTTTAAAGAATTATTTCTACATCATAACTATTATCAAAATATAATCGACTTTTAATATAAAAAAAACTTATATTGAAATTTTTAGAGAAAAGTTATATATAAATTGAGCATTTCAAGCTAATAAATTAATTTATGAAAAATAATAAAGTAATGCTTATATTTTTAATTCTTTTGTTTCAGACGTTTTCAGTCTTTACAAATTCAGTTTCAATTTGCAAATATTAGCATTTTTCTTAACAATTAAGAGGGTATTATTAAGATGTAGGTGTAAATTTATAGCTGCTGAATTTAATGGAGCATTAGTAAAAAATGCAAGAAATTATAGATTTGTTGGTTCTTCTTTGAATATAAGTCCATTTAGATATTAATTATATTATGTTTGGAATAGATAAGGGCATTTTGGAACCTCAACCTCAATCCCAAACTCAACTTCAATTGATATTTAATTTTCATAAGCTTATGAGATTAATCAAATAATCGTATGGTTTTATGATATTGATGGTAGAAATCATTGTTTTAAAATTATTGCTTTTGATTAATACAATCAAGAAACAGAATTATTTTAAGGATTAAATTTGATTGGGATTGTAAAAATTTCATTTTAAGATTAAATTGTATAATCATTAAAAATTGTGCTTTTACATGGTGGAACAACTAATGATCTAAATATTATAAAAATTTCAGCTTTCTATGCTCATAGAAGCATGATTTGAAAGAAAAATTATTTTATATGACAATCATTTTATAAAAACCTTTATTTATCTTGTTGAGTATTATTGATCTTCAAATCTTTTTAGATTATTGAAATAAATAGATTTTAAATAGTAAATAATATTAACCAATTAAATATATATTTTTCGCATCTAATAATTCGATACAAAAAGCACTTTATTACATTTCTTAAATGTTTAAAATATA